TCAATGGAAAATAATGTTCAGAAAACACATTTTAAGAAAACAACATATATTATATACAACACTTGCATTTGAAAAACAACATACACTCTCTAGAAGAAAATTTACCCTAAGAAAATAATCAAACTGAAAAAATAGAATTTGAAATGTAAGATCAACTGCACAGAAATCAACTTGAAAATAACACAAATAAATTACGATCAAATTTGCATTGAATTCTAATTAAACAATTAACTATGGAATTTAGTTAATATCAAATTTCAATTGATTCTAATTACAATAGAACTGAATCAATTTGCAATCAAATCCAATGATAACTAAATAAAAATAAGATCATTTCGGATTTGCAACCCTCTACTTTTTGATTCTAATGTGCTTAGCAAGTTGCATGGAATTAAATTACATACAAAGTTGTTTAAGCAACTATTTAGTAAATCAAAGTTTTACTAATTAAGAAACACTATTTACCAACTACAAATACGGGAAAAACCATACAACATTAAAATTTCACAATCCTATCATTGTCATATAATGGATAAATATCAAAACCTTGCAAAATCACAACCTTCACAACTCCACACCCTCTTGAATTTTATTGTACCTCTACATATTCTCTACATATAATTTTTGCTGTAATAAACATAAATGAACCCATTAAACAAAGCGCACACTCACAGTGACGAGCTATCTTTCTTTTCCCTCTTCCCTTTCCTGATCCCTTTCTTTTCCGCCTTCTCCTTCCTCCATTCTTCTGTCCCCCTTGCTTTATCTGTTGATTGAATTGCGGCTGGTAATTCTTGGCTTTTATTCAACTCCTAATATTCCTGTTGACAATTCCGTTTTTTTGATTCTATTTCCTTGTTCCTTGTTAAGTTACGCCGTGTATACAAAAGATAATCTCCCGCGTTTCCCCCTTCCTTTCTTTTGGTGCCTGTTCTTTATTATCTATTTAATATTTGCCTTTTAATTTCCTTTCTTTTATCTTTTAACTGAATTGTGTCGGTATTTTTTGCTGTATTTTCCCATTGTTGATATTCCTTTTTCAAAAGGTTTCTGATTGTGTTTTCTTCTTTATTATTTGTCTTTTCTCGTTATCCTTTTCCTTGTATTTTTGGATCATATTAATGCCGTTTGTTCTTTTTATTTTTGGAATTCAATGTTCTTTTTAGAATTTTATATTTTACATTGTCTGGTTTGATACATATTTAGCCCTTTTCCTCCTTCTTTCTTCTCCTTGTTTTTCGTGTGTTCATTCTTCCTTGCTTCTATTCCTATCCCATATTCCTTTTATACATTGTTCTCTTCCATTCCTTTCTTTCCCCCCTTGCTTATCCATTCCCTATTCCCCTTCCGTTTTCCTTTCCCTTTCCTTTCCTGTGTTCTTTCCGAATCTTCTGGGTAAATTCGGCAATGGCAAAACATAAGTTTATTTTCCGCGGCGATCGCGTGTCCGAGCGAGCACCTGCCGGACAAACACAAGGCGCTGAAATCCTTGAGGGGGTCTTTAGTCTCCATTGGTTTAACACAATGAAGCACAACGCAAATCAGGCACAAAATCAATTGGTAGTTGAATGTCGCAATTAACAAGGCCCTGTCACACATTGACATACAGCTTTAATATAAGTGGTGAAACCGCCTAATGAGAGGCCTCACCCCCTTCTGTTGCCAACCAAGGCAACATAACCCAACAAAACATGCCAAATATGAATACATGCCGTTCTCTGCCATTGAGGTTCGGCGCAACGTCACTAGGACCACCAATTTTTCTGTCACAGTGTCGCAGCTTTGCAGTGAGCACCTGCTAGCTCTGACCACCGACTTGCACCCAAAAACTCACATGGAATATATAACCTAAACATACACCCCCCGTGCAAAAAAGTATCTCCTGTATACAAAAAACACCTTGGTTTTGGGGCTTGACCTCTTGACGAAGTCTTCCTTGAGTCCTTGCCACGTTGGATGGGAGTCTTTGGGCATCTTCGGACCCATCTCCGAAAAGCGCCTTCCGAGCGTTAACCAGTTGGCCCAGTTCATGATTGGTCACAGTCCTCTCAAAAGAACTGCACTGATTTCCCGTCAAAGATCTCCGAACATCAGCTTCCCAAAGGAAACAATCGCTATCGAACCCCCAACAAAATACATAATTTACCATCTGAAGCCTCCTGTGTAAAGAAACCGGTGAACTGGTGAACTGTTCGTCTCCAAACTTCCAGCGGTTCCTTTGGCTGCTATCTGTTTGTTGCCGTGCAAGCTCGGCAGTATGTGCAACAATCCTGAAATTTAGGGTGAGTTAACTTAAGGCAATCAATGTTTTGATGGTCTAGCAATCCAAAGGGTAACTTAAAGACAAAAAGAACAAGTGAGTTCTGATCTATGATTGGTGCACAATCAGGATCGCGGGGGGCCGCGGGGGTTGTGGCATCCTTCTATATACAACTGCTTTCGATGACCAACCAGCACTGCTGGTAAAATCCTGTATGCAAAATTTGCGCCGCCGCTTCCCTTCCGCCCGTTTCGCTGTCGGCGCCTCTCACGGCAAAACTGGGCAAGGCGACGAGGCCTCAAACATTGCCGGATGGACCCAGTAGAGCATGGTGACCATGGTGTCACACACACCCAGGCGATCCCAAAAAGTCCTCAAAACAACACCAAGGTGTGGGTCATCGCCTTGCCTGACCCAAAACAACCAAACACAATCAAAGACAGCTTTGTGGCCCAATCGCCAATGCAACTTCCGTATGATGGCTACAGCTAAGGCTATGAACGGTCCTTGGTGTCGAGGGGGCTTCATGGAGCACGGTGCATCCACTTTGCCACAGGTTTCCCGTTTGACCCTCACCATCCCTGGCTTCAGCGCCTCGGGGCCATGCCACTTCACACAAGTCGGTTGTCGTTCCAGGCTCCACACCGCAACAAACGACGGCGGATTGAGTACGAATGAGAGCCCAGGTAGAGCGAGGTGAGCTCCCTCGGAAGGTGGCTAGCCAATTCCTTCGAGAACTCATCCGTAAAGTGTTTGTTCGAGACAAAGTCGAGGTGGAGCGAGGTGAG